CGCAGAGCAAAGGGCCAGGGCAGCCCCCTCCTCTTCCTCCTCCTGCTGCTGCTCCCTCCTGCTGCAAAGGAAAGCAGAGTAAGAGCCTGTCAACAGAGACCGCCAGGCCAGCACTCCCGGAGCCTGCCCTGCCTGCAGCATGGTGCTGAGCGGTGCGGCAGGATGGGCAGGGAGCCAGCAGCTGGAACCACAGCTCCAGCTCGGAGGCTCCAGAGAGCTGGCGTGCCACCGGGACAACCTGCCCCAGCCCTCGCCCTGCCCTCCTCCAAGCTGTGGGCAGCAGGAGAGGCTCTGGGTCCCCACAGAACCACATCCAGTAGCTGCTGCCCAGCGGGTGTCCTTGCTCGTCCAGGTGACGTCCTCCCTTAGGGTGCCGCACCTGCATGGCGACACTCAAGGGACAAGTGAGCACAGCTCAACCATTTGCAGGACAATGCGTTTCTTTCCACAACTCACCTGGTGAGCGGCAAAGTCCCCCAGCTTTGATAGACGGGGCTGTCGGTGGCCCTTGCTTGGGAGGATCCTTCAAGAAGCAGGCTGCGCTTAGAGAGCAGCCCCGCAGCAGAAAGGGCCACCGGCAAGCTGCCACCCGGCACCAGCAGCCTGAGCGCGGCAGAGCTGGGACCCTCTGCCCTCCTGGGCTCTCTGCCCCACACGGCAGGTTTCCCCCCAGTGCCGCCAGCAAGGACGTGCTGGTGTTCCTCGTGGCTCCCCAACCCTCTCCCGCTCCCTGAGTAGCACCACGGGACCCTCCCACACAAGCTCACCCCACTCACTGCACATCCTTGGCACGCCAGCACAGCCAAAGGTAGGTGAAAGGCAGCCATTCTCACCTTTGCCTGGCCCTCCGTCAGCCCCTCCAGGCTCCTGGTGCTGAATGACCTCCACTGGGAAGAGAGAAGAGGTGGAAGAAGGTGAGCAGAGATGCCTCTGCTGCTCAGCGGGAGGACCAGCGCTCGGGGACAGAGCCCGGACACTCACGGCATGGCGGCGGCTCAGCTCCTTCTCCAGGAGTTTGAGTGATGGGAGTCAGGTCACCTGGGCTCTCTTGGCTCCTTCTGGTGTCCTGTGCACTGGGAAGGGACAGGGAGACAGCTGGGTGAGCCCCAAGCTGCCTCTTCTTTCTTGTCAGGCAGCTCTGCCTGAGAGCTGCCCACAGCTGCGGGGGCACCTCTACCCAGCTGGGGAGCCATGTTCCCCTGTCCAGCTGTGCCTGCAGCATCCCCCCAGTTTACCCCAGCAGTGTGCCCACCCACAGCTCCTTCAGCACCCAGGAACTGCAGAAAGAGGAGAAATAGCATCAGGCCCCACTGCCCCCCAGCCCATGGGCAGAGGCAAGCACCTGCACAGCCCTGCCCCGTGGGGAAGGACACAGGGGCAGGACGAAGCCCCGTGGAGCAGTACAGAGGCACTGCCCAAGCCCTGGCTCCCTCTGTCCTGCTAGAGCAGCTGCTTTTGCCCTTCCCTTCTGGGGACCAAGAGGTGACCAGGGGATGTAGGACATGGAAATGCCCCAATCCATCTCTGCTGGCGTGCTGTTTGCTCCCTGCCCAGGCTCTGCATGCAGGGCAGAGGCCGTTCACAGGATGGCGTGGGCATGGTTGGGAACCTCTCCTGCCCAGCCATGGCACGTGGCACCACAACTCACCCAAAATTGGCAATGCAGGAGCCAGTGGGCCAGATGAACATGAGGGAGGTCCTGTCCTCATCACTGCCTTCCTCCTCCTCCTCCTCTTTTTCCTCCCCTGCCAACTCCTTCCTGCCGCTCAGCACCCACAGCTGGTCCAGGGCCAGGTGGAGCTGTGGGCACATGGTGGTGCCACTTCTGCAGAGATGAGAGGCAGGCGGTGAGCTGGAGGTGGCCTCCTTGGGGTCCCTGCAGCCAGAGCCCTGTCCCCCACCTGCTGCTGGGACGGACATTGGTACATTCAGCACCAAGGTCCCAGGGCCTGGGGCTGGTGCCAGTGTGTCCCTGCCCTGATCCCAGAGCCAGGGATGGGTGAGAGGCAGCTAGGCTCTGAAGGTCCTACTGCAACTTGGCGAGCACCAGTTCCTCCTGGAGGAGGAGAAGGCACCTCTTGCTCCTCTTGTGGCCCTGGGTCAACTGCATGTTTGTGGTCAGCACTGGCTCAACATTGGTGAGAGCCTCCCTGCAGAGCAGAGAGCAGTGGGCATGAGAAAGGCCACTGCTGCGGGGCCTGGCTGTGCCCACGTGTCCCGAAGCCGCAGGGAGAGCCCACCTGGAGCCGCAGCAGCAGTTGGCCTGGCCCATCCCGCCCGGGACAGGAGGACCCTCGCCGTGCACCAAGGATGCGGCCCAGTTGTCAACAGCAAGGATGGGAAGTGAGGTGCCAGTGCCGGCTCAGTGCTGCTCAGCCAGATCCTGCCTCCTCCCAGCGCTCCTCCGTGCCAGCACAGCTCCGTCCTGCTGTCTCTGATGGCTGTGGGCTCCAACTGATCCACGTTTCGACCCCAATGGAAACTGGGGGTGGCCCTGGAGCAGGCACTGGGGTGGGGGTTCTCTCCAGTATGGCTATGCCTGTCTTGCACTGGGGAGCCCAAAGCAGGACAGAGCAGAGGGGAAGGACCACCTCCCTCCACCTTCTGGCAGCGCTCCTTGCCTTGGGGTTCACTGCTGGCTCCTGGCCTCCAACTAGACTCGGTGTCGCTGGTCACCACCCTCTGGGCGCAGCCACACAGCCAGTTTTCCATCCACTGCACTACTCATCAGCCCATGTGGTGCTTGTTTTCTTCCAGTCCTGAGGCACATCTCCCTTTTAGAGTGGCCTCGCAAGGCCATCTGCCAGCTCTCTCAGCACTTGAGGGTGCACCCCAAAGGGACCCATCAGGGACTTGTGCATCTCCAGTTTGCTTAAGTGTTCTCTAATCTCATCCTCTTCCACCTGATCCTACCAGATCCTCTTGCACTAAGGGTACCTCTTCTTTGCTCCAGCCTCTCCCCCAGGTCTCCAGGGCTTGGGATGTCTGAAGGCTGGTCTTGCTAGAACCATCATGCCCCAGGATGATTGGCAGAACCTAGACCATCCTGAAGCACAGGCATAGCCTAGTGAAGTTCAAGAGAGTTTTAAGAGGGAGAAAAATACTTCCCTAAAAATGTGGCTGTATGATGAGTTCTTGTGGCCACAGGGAACTGGGCATTGTATCTGTTTTCACTGCCTTCTCCTGTGCTTGGTCCTGCCTTATGGTGCTCAGCAGCTATGGTCTTCACTTCTCTGTCAGCAGTTTAGTGGGGAAGCAGTGGCCAGGGTTTCCAATCAGCAGCAACGTGGTGTTGCCACCTGCTTAGCAAGGAGGTCCCTAAGCCACTGTGCCTTGGTCAGGGGTGTGTGTGGCTTTCCTTGGATTCCCCATGTCTGTGCCTGGGGCATTTGCAATCAGTCTCACCCTATGTTTGCAGGTCTCCCTGGGCCACTGCGATGAGGATTACAAGTGCATCGTTTCTGTTTCCAAAATAGCAAGGCCACTTCTTGTTAGGGGACAGGGAGAAAGAGGATAAACAGCAGTCACTAATAATTTAAAATGTACATAGAAAGAAGAGCTTTTGACATGCTGATACTGATGGGTAAAAGCCCTTTAGCGGTCTTTTTCTACATCCTCTGGTAGATGTGTTGCAGGCATGATGCCCCATGGTCATGAATCTTCACCTTTAAAATCAGGAGGTTGGACTGAAAATCACAAGATTTTTAAATATATGTATATAACAGTCCTTTTTATTTGCCGCTAGATTTCAGTTGTTAGGAAAGTAGCCAAATTCTCAAATTGCTACAAACTGCCTCTTTTTAAAAAAAAAAAAAAAGCTTGAATAAAATAAAAGCTAGGTATTTGTGAAATGACAAAGACCTCAGAACTGAAACTGAAAGACAAAAGAACCAACATTATGAGATTCAGGATAAAATTGTTGAAATATGATAATACCAAAGTCCCAAATAAGACACAGCAGGAAAGACCAGCCTCTGATGCATTTGGACATTGATTCTCTGTATAAATGACTGGAAGAGCTGAAAGACTTCAAACATGAACAGCCTTCAACCAGCAAGTAATGCCTTATCTGACATGCCTTTATGTACATGCCCTTGGTTCCTGGTGCAGACTCCAGCAAACAATCGCAAGACAAATATTTCTGATACACATGTGCTCTGCACCAGACATGCAGCAGTTCTGTATGCGACCAAATGATTCACTCACCAAGACCATCTCCTTAAACACCAGTTTACACAATCTCTGTTACTGAGAGCCCCAGAAAACTGACTTCTCCACTGGATTCATGCACAGTCAGAACTTGAATCCCTAAGGGCAAGACTCAGACCAGAATAATTCAGGAGGCAACAAGAAGCAAGGAAGCCATATGAAATAAATGTCAAGAGGGGGGTGCTGCTCCTGGCCCTGGATTCCCTCCTCCATCCATGAAGATGTGAAACCACTAGCCTGTGAAAGCACACAAGCATGCTAAACACCCTCCCCACACTGTCCATACCAATAACTGTCATTTGTCT